TTTTTTTTTTCTCCAAGCAACAGTTTCAAGGAATTGATATTTCAATTCAAAGCTGGTGGAGGTACTTAGAACTGAAAGATGCTTCTTTAAACATCTGTTGGTCCCCACCAGTAACCCTAACCCTCTTATTTGGTAACCGGGCACCGCCTGACACTCATGTGCCCCGTGCACATATCACTGATACTACCAATAAATAACTTCTGTAGGTGGGGGTCCAGCCCACAGATTGTATTCCATGTTTTTAGCCACCACAAATGTGCTCATACACAGTTGATTAAGCTAGCGGTCAGAAATGTGCAGGTCCCCGTCCTGTTGGTCTGAAGATGTTTGCCAGACCTGCAAACACAGAGATGGACAAACACTCAGCTATTAATAGCTTCATTTTCCAGTGATGGCTCTGATCCACAAAAGCTCAACATCTAATCCAGCACTGGTGGTCAGATTCTCAGACCGTTGTCCTTGCACATGTCATGGTCAGACCTGGCTGTGCACGTGGTCCAGAGATGGACACAGTGAAAGATAGGCAGATCTGCTTTGTTACAGACCCTGGGATGGGAGGTAATCCCTTCTTCATCATTTGGTCTTCACATGCTAAAGTGGTTTCTGAGAACTTTAAGTTTGACATTTCCTCCCCTGTCTTGTTTCCAGAATGGTCTTAATGCGCTGCACCTGGCAGCCAAGGAGGGCCATGTGGACCTGGTCCAGGAGCTTCTGGACAGAGGCGCAGCGGTGGACTCATCTACCAAGGTGAGATTACTCATCTGCACACAGAGCTAACAAAGGTTTAATCAAGAGAGAGAGAGAGGGCTGGAGCAGTGGGAGCATCTTAGTTAGTTTTTATAAAGTTGTAGTAATCAGAATTAGTTTTATTTAGTGTGATTTTTAGAAAAAATCTAATTTTTGCATCACACTTTAAAACAGATTGTTGAAAATTATTTAAATGTATCTATTAAAAGTTATTAATAACAAATACAAAGTGGAGGAAATAATGAATGTACCTTTAAATGTAAGATGAAAAGTTATTTACTTATTAAAGATGTTCATAATTAGATAAGAACATGATTTTTGACCATTTTCTTCAGGTCATTGAGCATAAATTTCGACAGACAAAGGTGGGGACAGAATTAGCTCATGAAAATATCAATGTTATAGAAATAATCTCAACAGAGAGGCAGTGTAGTTTTTCAAAATGATTTTCATGGTTGTTAAAAAGGCATTTTCCTCCAGCTGTGGAACTTTTCCTCAAGAGTTTAAAAGCTCAAAGCTGAGAGCCACATAGCTTACACTTAATTAATGTTATTTTTTTTATTTTTTCACTGGATTTTGAATTAATTAAATCTATCAGGGTTTGGTTCTCCTTCCCTTCCTTTTGTAAAAAGACTGTTTCTATGTTAATGAACTCCTGAGGAGCTGCTGGAGCTTGAGTTCTGAAGCTGGGCAGCAGTGAAAGCGGAATGCTACAGGAAAGTGATACGTTTAGTGGAGTGGTTAACACGGCGGCCTGCTTTACAGAAATGCTGACCATTCCAACGCTGCAACAAGACACGCTTCTCTTTTAAGTGAGAGGATTTTTTCTAGTTGTGACTCTTGTTGATGCCACTCCAAAGTGCACCACAGCAGATACTAATGACAGAGGTTTAATGTCATTGATAGATTTTAATTCATATTTATATTTAATAGTTTCATTGTCTTTGACTGCTGAATCTAATTTGGGGTCATGGGGGGGTTGGGGCTGAAGCTCATACGTCAGAAGGGGTAAACCCTGTAAACCCTACAGTGCTATTTAGAATACACAAAGAGAATGTTTGGAACATTTTTAGAGAAAAAAAAACTCTTCCGACCCATGAGCTAAGCGCTTTTGTGTTGGAGTTCTGTGTCAAGATTTGGGATCAGGGACAGGACGCAGATGCAGAACTCATTTTGTACAAGTCTTTATTGATCAGTTTTCTCAATTAACGGAAAAAAAAACAAGCTATAACAACTTAATACGAACCAAGTACTTTTCAGCGAGAGGCTGCAAGGCTGTTAAATAAAAAAAATAAAAGAATACTATGAAACTGTACTGAAATGAAAATCACTCCTTGAACAGAGGCAAAACAAGACTATGAAAAATAGTTCACAAAAGATCACTGGATTGGAGGAAAACTATGAACATTTGGACAAAATAATAAAGCACTCCAGAAATAAGAGGAACTACAGAAAATCAGAAAATCACTCCACTAAAGAGGAAAACCATGAACTATGACAATTATCAGGACTATGAAACGTATCAAAACGTATCAAAACAAAAACACTCTTGGGGAGGAAACTAAATAAAGACAAGACTGACTCACATTACAAGACAAGGACTTTAAAACGCCAGAAGTGATCTGACCTGCAAAAGCCTCTGGCACTAGACCAGAGGAGACCAGACTGTGAGGACTCAGAGGGGAGACAGGAACAGGGGGACACTATCAGGAAATAGGGAAGACAGACTGGTGGCACAGGAGGAAAGGCAAGAGGAGAGTTAGCATTTCAAAATAAAACAGGACATGACCAAACCTGACGGAACCTAAGGACTCCATTGCTCTTCTGGGGAGATGCATGACACCCAGTATTGGAGTGACCTGGAGGGGTCTGTTTGGGAGGATTATTGCTGACTCATGTCATGTGGCAGTAAACAAACCTGCCGGTGGACACCAGGGGTGATTAAAAACGGTCAAGCTGAAGAAGGAGGCATTTTTGACTTGATTGTCCAAGGTTCTACTGAGAAGCAGCATCCCCCCCCAAGTGAAGGGCCTCAGCAAACCTGAATCACCTCAGTGTGCTGTTAGCAGACCTGAACATAGCGTTTAAAGTAGATAAATCCCATCAGAGTTAGGTGTCTCTAAGTATGAAAACATCTTAGATGGAGGAGGAGAAGCTCAACTCTGGTCCAGGCTCCAGGTTACGATGCCTCCTAAATGGAGGGGTCTCCTCCATTTAGAGGTTTTTCAGACATATCCAACGGGGAAGATGCCACAGGACACACCAGAACTCGCTGGTGGGATTCTGTATTCCCTCTGGAAGGAGCTGGAGTGGATTTCTGGGACAGGGGATGGTTGCTTTGTCTCCTGAACTTGACCTCATGGACCCTCCGTTAATAAGAAATGTTCCATTTTTATCTGAAAACTTTTCTGTGTGTACATGGTCAGAGAAAATGATTAAAGTGTCAGATTTTACAGCATTTTCCTGTTTTAAACATGCTCTGACAGCTGAAGCCTGAACTGGACTTGACGAGGGTCAAGGTGCCTTGTTATGGTTCTGTCCATTTGACATTTTCAATGCGATTGTGTTTTTGTCAAATCCAGAAAGGAAACACAGCGTTGCACATATCGTCTTTGGCCGGCCAGGCCGAGGTTGTAAAGCTCCTGGTCAAGCAAGGAGCGGACATCAACGCTCAGTCTCAGGTGAGTGTGGACTCCCGTCACACAGACGTTTAACACGGTACCCTCTCAAACCTCATGGACTCTGTAGTCCTCTTATTACTCGTTTAAGAGCTTTTTTATTTTTTTTAATTTGTTTAATTTTTTTTAATTTTTTTTATTTTAATTTTTTTTATTTTTTTCCTTTTTTTTATTTTTATGGTTATCAAATTCTGACCTTCCCATAATTTTCTACTCTTTTTTTATTTTTCTATTTCTATTCCTTCTTTAAAAAAAGAACATTATGGGAAGGTCAGAATTTAATAACCATTACTGATTTAAGAATAATTCAAAATGTAATGAATATCACTTCCAATTTCTTTGTTTTGCAACTTATCATTTCCCATTTACTATTGACATCCATCCTTATTATAAAACCAATTTATCTAACAGATACAGACGATAATATCACGTGTGCAGCTTTTCACACATCAACACAACATGATTGCAAAACTATCATATTCAGAACATTTATACAGCAACTGCAATTCGTCTAGCTTTTGTTTTTAACAGCCAGGGCTTTATTTTGAGTGGATTTGAAGGACTGAGTACAGCAGAAGATGATCTCTCATATCCCTAATCCCCCGTGCTGCTGTTTTGCAGAACGGCTTCACCCCTCTGTACATGGCGGCCCAGGAGAACCACATGGACGTGGTGCGGTACCTGCTGGAGAACGGAGGGAACCAGAGCACCGCTACAGAGGTCAGAAGGTTTTAGCTGATAGCAACATTTTAGGCTCCATCAAACACCACAGAATATGTCTTTATCTAAAAATATTTTTGAGACTGTTGCTTAAAACAGCTTTCTCTTGTCATGTTTGTGTGCACATTGTATGTTTTGTAGTTATTTAGCTCATAAACACGCTCAAAATTAGTCGATTAGCACTGGACACAAAGGGCAGCGGAGCCTGAAAGGAAGGAATGAAAATCATAAGCATTTCTTTAGATATTAAAGCAAAGTTTTTAAAAAATGTGTTGATCTTTTGAATGAAGTGGAACAATTTGAAAATGTATATTAATTTGCATTTTGACTGGACAATCATTGTATTGCAATTAACTGGACTGAATTGATTTTACCAGCATTAAGATGACATGTCTTGTGATTTCGCAGTGACCAAATATACAAATTTTGGGTCTAGATTTCTATTTATTTATTTATTTATTTATTTATTTATTTATTTATTTATTT